TTCATTGATTTACTTAAGTTGATGTGACATATTTCATCTGTGCAGAATCAATGCATTTGTATCATATAAATTCAGTCACTTTTTTCAGGATATGCCAGTTAGTATATATGACTACTGATACAACTTTACTCTGCTAACTTTCTTTTTAGCATGCTAAAGGCTACATGGCTACAAACAAAAACAAAACAAACAAAACAAAAAGAAAAACAGTACATCATGGTTCTAAACCAAAGTTTATAGCCAAACAAAGCAATTCTTCACAGAATGTATGTAGGTTATGTTCAAAAATGTTCAAAACATTTGCATGGTTAGCTGATTAGCTCACTGAAGATAGCCTAGCTGAGGGCGAGTGCATTCACATTTAATAATCTGCCCCTTGCTGTATTCTCCTCCTCTTCTGCTTGGAGTCCATACTTCTGGCCACTTCCACACTTTCAAGTGGTGGGTTGAACTTAGCAAGGACATGAAAAAAATATATTGAAACAGCGGCTGCTGTTGAGAGAAAACCATGCTTTTGTCATTTTTAATATTGTGGTGTTCACCATGGGCCATGCTGTCCAGAGGAGCTCAGGAGGTGTGGCCACACAAAGTGGCCCTCGGGTGGTACCACGCTCCAGGTGCAAAAAGGTATAGTTGCTGCTGATCTACTTTGCTAACAAGGTTGTTGTGTGTTGAATGTGTTTTATTATGTTGGGCTGTGGGTTCATTAGTGTAGTTTTGAGTGAGGTTGTATGGCTATTGGTGTACTTCCATTCAATTCACTCTGTTATTCAGTGTCCCTGGGCTGGGCATTTCTTGCTGTTTGTTGAAGTGCATGTTCAATAAAAGAGCATTTGCCTATATATGCATTGTTTTCTACATCATCTTCTACACCAAAGCCACAATATTTTTACATAATTTGAAATCACCAGCAGCCCTTTACATTGTGTCAAAAAAGATTAAAGATTCAGAATGTGAATGGGCATTTGTGCAGATTATTTTTTTGCCCACTTTTCAACAGTTTCCTGCACCCTCACTGGACTCTCCAGGTTGAACGATTAGAGGTAGCAAACGATTAACTGGTCCAGAATGTAGTCTTGTGTTGTGGCAGTCAGCCACTAGATGGCGATCTTTATCTTTGATGAATTTTGTCCTTTCTTTGCGTTATGAAGCCATCAAAAGTGACACTGAACTTGAACAGTGAAAGTAGTTAATAGCAGAATTTCTTTCAGCTTGATCCTTCCTCGATTTCTAAAAAACAACATTTTCTCCAGATTCAAACTGATCACTGACCTACAGTGCTACAAAATATTTATGTGTGGGGAAAAAAAAGAGATAGATTGTATATCACATTGATTTGCAAGGCCTCACCAGACAGATTTATCAATTCTGTCATTTTTTTTGAACTGCCATACATAACGAATACTACAATAACTGCATTCTGATGGCATCCAAAAGATTTTTAAAGCAAGGACTTTCTTTATTTATATTTTTACTTTCGTCTTTAAAATATGTTTAAACCATCCAGATAAACAATCTAAAAGGCTAACTCTTTAGAACACAATACACATTTCTACTGTGAATCAGCCCATTTCAGATGATCTCAAGCCCAGAGAAGTCAGCAGTGTTTCTGACATGGTTACTCTGTACTTTATTTTTGTTTAAATACAGGTCAAAGTGAATTTACAAACCACTGCTTTCTGTTGTTAATTGCATTTTGCCAACTGCCCTGACTGTTTTGGACTTGGGTTTGTGATTTTAATTGTATCAATTTTAAGAAGTACATACTTGGGGCCCTCTGGTGGTTTGGGGGCCATAAGTGACTACAAAACGCAAGAAGGAGAGCATGTGTTGGAAACAGATGATGAATGGAAGCAATGCATGCCATACAATCATTGCAAAAGTTTGAATACCCCCATCTAATTACAGATTTTGTTGAATTTCCAAGTGAAAATTAGTTACCCCCTTAACATTTCAGGTTTATTTCATTCTAAGGCTTATTATTCTGTAACTACAGGGACTTCAATGCACAGAAGTGTGTAATAAAACTAGGTTTGTTAAGAGGTTGCTTACTTTGCAATTGAAAGGTGCATTTTTCTACAATGTTTAGTGCACAATGTCTATTTATTTGCATACGACTGTATATTCAGTGCCAGTTCAAAGGTTTGGTGATACCTTGCCTTCACATTTTTATTTTCCCACTGTTACTGTTCAAGTATGTAAGATAAAATTATCGGTAAATATTTAATACAGATTTTTTAGGGTCTTTAGGGTAAAGATCTTTAGGGTAAACTATTGCAAACAGACAAAGAAAACATGATTTTTTTTTTTAAAGCAGAGGTCCTTATACTTTTAATGGATGGTTAAGTCTATTTATAAGAGCATTGCCCAGGGATTGCATGCTGTGGATTTAGATTGCATCTCTCAGCTTCAAATTCCTCAAAGCTAGTCTTTATCAAAACAAAGCAAATGATGCAGAAAGCCACTCCCTCACACAAACAAAATGTTGCAATAATAGGTGAAATGTCAGATTTTGACACAAGGTTGCATCGCACACATTAGCATCATTGAGTCAGCCTAAACAGCATAAACAAATGTTGCAAAGTTTTGTAAATTAAAAACTGAAATAACACATTTGCCCAAGTATTCAGTCCTTTTATGACGAGTACAGCTGCATCCTGAGTTCACTGGATCATCCTTGATATTCTGATTAAAGTTCACTTGTGATAAATTAATTTGACTGGACAGTATTCATAAAGAGGGATGGAGCATTTGACCTCAACAACTATAGGCCTATCTTTAAATTACCATGCCTAGCAAAAATATTTAAAAAATCATATATTATAAAAAGCTGATCTCAGTACATTCTATTCTAAGCACACATCAATCTGGTTTTAGAGAGAAAACTAGCATTGTTACTGCCACCATTCTTATTTTAAATGACATTATTTTGTCTTCAGATAAAAAGAAGCATTGTGCAGCCCTTTTTATTGATCTTTCAAAGGCATTAAATACAGTTGATCACTCACTACTTAAAAAGACTTGTTAATATTGGTTTTAGATTTGATCAAATTGCCTATCAGTGGTTTCAGAGCCACCTAATGGACAGACAGCAGTGTGTGACTGTGGGAAATCTGTGCAGATTACTGTGTCCCACAAGGCTCAATCGTGGGGTCTGTTCTGTTTTCAATTTATATTAATGATACTGTTTCTTCTTTAATGAGTGTAATATGCATCTTTGTGCTGATCATACAGTTATAGTTTTTATTCTGCAGGTACTATACATTTTGCTATTAAACCCCTTCAGCACTGCTTTTGATTTACAAGTTACACTCAATAATCATACATTATGTCTTAGTGCACATGAAAGTAAAGACGCTAATCTTTACCAAATCATTTTTACCAAAAGTGGTACAAATATTGAAAGTATCACAGCATATTAGTATGCATTTCGGTATATGGATCAATGAGAAGATATCCTTTAGATAGCATATAACTAATCTCGTGAGTAAATAAAAAAATGTATTTCTTTTATAGGAAGGTAACATGCTTCTCTCTCTCAGGCCCTTGGACACCGTTTATCACTCTGCTTGATAAACTCAACTATATTGTAAAGGAGGCCTTTACCTCAATGTATATGAGTTTGAATAAAGGTTGACTGTATATATATCTAAAGTGCACTTTGCTTAATCATTTAGAGTTTGTAATGTACACTTGCATAGAACTTAAGTGACTGTAAAGGGACAAACAAAATTGAGCTCACATCATCAATGAGATCTTTCTACTAAGTATTGGGACATATCTTCTAATTATTGAGTTCAAGTATTTCAGCTACACTCATAGCTAACATGTGGATAAACGTAAACAAATGGCTTGAAGTCTTGATAGACAAACACCAGCAGTAGAATTGGTCATATACTGATGAGCTCATTGCCTTTAAACATGGCACTGTGAACTTGACACTAAACATGTCAAGATGCCATCTCTGCCACAAGTCAGTCTGTGAAATTTCGGTTCTGCTAGATCTGCCCCAGTCAACTGCTATTTTTGTGAAATTAGCGACGAAGTGGTAGACCATGCAAACTCACAGAGTGGAGCCATTGAGTGCTGAAGTGCACAGTGTTTATCTTCTGTTGAATCGCTCACTAAAGAGTTCCAAATTGCCTCTGGAAGCAACATCAGCAAAATAACTGTTTGTTAGGAGCTTCACCCAATGCGTTTCCATGGCTGAGCAGCTGGACACAAGCCTAAGATTAAATTGCACAATGCCAAAGCGGGGGGTTGATTGGAGGAGGTTGTGTAAAGCAAGCAGCCACTGGACTCAGGAGTGGTGGAAACGTATTCTGTGGAGTGATGAATCACGCTTCTCTATCTGGCAGTCGGACTGGCCCTTACAGAGCCCTGACCTCAACCCCATCGAACACCTTTGGTATGAACTAGAACGGAGGTTGTGAGCTAGGTCCTCTCGTCCAACATCATCAACCTCACAAATGCTCTTCTGGATGAATGGGTAAAAATTCCCACAGACACTCCAAAATCTTGTAGAAAGCTTCCCAGAAGAGTGGAAGCTGTTATAGCTGCAAAGGGGGGACCAACTCCATATTAATGCCTATGGATTTGAAGGGATGTCATAAAAGCTCCTCTGGGTGTAATGTGTAAGTGTCCCTATATATATAATAAACAAAACAAAATATATAATATATATATATATATATATATATATATTTTGTTTTTTTTTGGGGGTTTTTTTTTTTTTTGTTTTGTTTTGTTTATTTTATTTTGTACTTTATTCTAGATGGTGAATGTATTAGAACATTACAGGCAGCTTTTTAGACACTTCTACAGCTGGCACCACAGGAAGAAAAACCGGAAAGAGCAGAGGAAACCAAGCTGTTTTTTTGAGTGTCACGTACTCTAGACGGACACGCCCACTATGTTGAAACAGTCATGTCTACAAGAGATTGCTGCAGTTCCTTAGTCACGTCCTATTTTCTTCATTTTTTTAGTGCCTGTGGACAATTACTTGCAAGGTTCACATGGTGAGAAGTGCTGATTAATGATATTAAATGTAGGTTTTTCAGAGATATAGATATTAAATCTGTTTATAAACAGTGTCTGCCAGTTACATGCCAGGGAAATGACAGTTATGTTTTAAAAGGAAATCTTTTTTCACCTCTTAACAAGTTACATCAAGACTCATCCTTAGGCATGCCCACGATCATGGGATCCTACAAAAGCAGCTGTCATTTCTCAGAAGAAACATGTTCTCTTTCTCTCTCTCGCTCTCTCTCTCTCTCTCTCTCTTTCATCCCTCCCCTTCTGGTTTTAGTGTATAAAGCTGTGAGTGTCTGTGCTCTCCTGCTCATCTCTCAGAATGGAGTCTGTGCTGAGATATTTGGACTGGATGTCTGTGAGCTTGGCCCTGCTGGGTGGTCTGCTCTTTCTATTTCTGATGGAAAGTATAAGGTTGAGCTCCTCCAGGAGCCGCAGCCCCCCTGGACCCAAACCACTTCCCTTCGTGGGTAACCTGCCCCAATTCGTGAAGGATCCAATGGCGTTCATCAGATCGGTCAGTTTTCTCTTTTTCTTCACCTGTTTAGCAGTTGTTCTGTATGTTATGAGAAGATCCTGATGGTTCAAAGGGTTAACCCCTTAAAATTCCAGGCTTATTACATACTAAGGTTTATTATTCAGTAAATACTGGAACTTCAATGCAGACTAGTTGAGCTATTCTTAGGTTATGGGTGTGTGTGATAAAACTGGGCCCGCTGGTGCGCCCTGGCCATTTAAGGGGTTAAATTGCTGTTGTGATTAGGCATGCCTCTGTGCTGTGGATCAGGTGTAATGATGGTGGTAACAACTTTCTACCAGGTTGAGCAATTCTAGGAACTGTGATACCTAACATGTTTCATTTGTAGGCTCAAAAAAGCATAATTTTTGTTCTGTAAACATTGATTTGTGACTGAAAATGGTTGTAAACATGCTGATTAGGGGCAAGTTTGCAATATTCTTAAGACAAAATGATACCTACCAAAAGGGTAGTCCTGATCTTTCTTACTTAGCTGTATTTATACTGGTTGAAAAGCTGCTTTCCACCTGTCACCATGTCACAATATTGCCATGTCACAATGTTACTATGCTGACCTCCATGGGTTAAGTAACTAATACTGCCTTTCTGCTGTCACCATAGCAATGTCATCCGTTAGCTAAAGCTGTGGTTTTTAAACCAGCTCTCGGGGCCCCCAGACAGTCCACATTTTTGCTTCATCCTAAGTCTTAACACATACGAGTAGTGCAGAAATGGACCATGGAATGTCTCAGGGTTCCTGAAGACCAGTTTGAGAACCACTGACCTAAAAGCATTAGAAGGACCAATTTGTGCTCTGACCTGGGTTCTGCTGGCCCTAAGGGGTAAGAGGCAACAGGTGTCTCTGGCTGATCTGCTTTGAACCAACAAACTGATCATAGCTTCCCAGAGCTCTAAGTGGACACAGCAAATGTAATCCTCCGGTGTATTCACTGCTGCGTGGAAGTGGAGGAGAAGGCTAATCTGCCCCACATAAGGCTTATGATGCTTTAAGTACTATTATAAAACAGATAGCTCTGGTCTTAAAATTGGGTTTGCTGAGCCACGTTCGAAGCCATTGTAAAATACACGATATATCCAAACCTATGACGGCCTTACAGCAATTGAACTCTGTATTACTGTGCCACATAACGAAAAATCCTTGCACTGTTTATAAATCTAATGCTGCTCACATGGACCACTGAGTGTACTGACTGAGTAAGATACCATTTCTGTTTAAACTGAGGGGCAGACAGTTTATTTTCTTAACTAGAACTAGGCTGGTCAGCTGGCTAACAGGTTAAATAACTCCATCATTAATATCACAGACTTGAATTAAAGCATTTACAATATGATTTGCTGTAAAACTGCAATATATAAGTCTAAAGAATGCCACGTGAATGGCTGACATGCTTCAACTGTTCATGCTTCAGTCAGAAGTCACATCAATCCCAGGCTAAATCCCAAACACCTTACATACCCCCCAAATAGTGTTCTAACTATGGAGGTTTTAAAATTCTAGATTCTACAGCCAAATAGTGCACTGTGTGTTCAGTATGGATGTGGCTGAATCCTAAATGATTATATTTAGTGAATTTTTTTTCTAAATTATGCTCTGTTGGGGTGCGTGAGCCAGTATTTAAATTCCTATGTAGTGCACTATGTAGGAAGCAGGGAGCCATTTGAGATCCAGCCCCAGCGTGGGAAGAGGGGCACCACTGAATTGGTGCTACATAAGACTTGCGGTGGTAATTCGGCGACCAAAAGTTATTTAGAATTTCTGGTTTTAAACAGTGAATTAAACAGTGCTATTATACGACAAAAACATAAACATTCATTATTATAGGACAAAAGTTAATAAGTTTATGAAATGACCGCAGTATACAGTGATGGGCGACCAAACGTTCTCCTAATTCAGCAGTCTGTGGTTGCTGGGATACCACACTCTACAGGAACTACATTTCTTGGCGGAATACTTGTCAATGTTGATTGATGTCAATAATAACTTTTCTGAAGAAATGTACATTATTTCATATTTTATGTTGGCCGCCGTTTTATGAGGCCGTGCGTTACTGTGATTTTATCATGGGGAAGGGAGTTTTAGGCACTCTGCTTCAAGTAATACTTACGAACACCCTTTCCATGATAAAATTACAGTAACACAAGGCTTCTCATGGCTTATTGTTTTAATATATATTTCAGAGCAAAGTTATCTCAAGAAAAGGGCTATTTTATTTGAAATTACCAGAATCCTACTGCTCCAAAAGAGCCCCAGGTCTGTCATGACTGAGTAGGTCATATGTGTCACTTATGTCCAAACATACTCAGTTCCTGCAGGGCTGGTCTAAGTGAACACAAATGTCCTTTATATCTATATAGATTATATCTGGATTTGGAATGACTTCAGTGGAAAACTCATGTAACCACATGTAAAAGAATACGTATCTAACCTTGTCATCTCTCTCAAGAGATGCCACCTCCCTCTGAACTCTAAAACTATCATACTGGCATGAACACAGTACATTATTGTAGAAATGACAGTCCACCTAGTTTATCTCCTTCATTTCCCTGGAAAACACCCACTGATGATATAGTCATGGTATCCATATTACAATACACAGCACACACTGGGCAAGGCGTGACATGTCAAACGATCTGTCCCTCAAGCTATCTGAGTGCTGTATGAAGTAATTCTTCCTAATGAAGGTTTGGGCTATATTCAAATCTCTGTATGTCTCAACTTCTTGAGAAAAATGCTGAACACTGGGATAATGGTGAGTTATATAGGTCAAAATTGACCCTGTGGTAAAACACGAGTCTAGACTCAAAAGCTGTTAATCAAAGCTCAGGTTCATTCAGGTATGTAGAACTTTGGGTGGACAATAATTGCACACCTGTGTGTTAAAGCAGCAGTTCTCAATCCATTTTCCTGCATCTTGCTTGTAAACATGATTGTTGATTGTCCATAGTTTTGCTCTATCTCTGCTCCCCGAATACCTGAGCTATTCCTTTGTTGATTAGACGTTTCTAATTGGATTATGAACCACTGTTCAGCTGATAAGACCTGTCCAGGGTGTATCCTGCCTTTCGCCCAATGACAGCTGGGATAGGCTCCAGCACCCCCTGCGATCCAGAAGGATAAGCGGCTTAGAAAATTTGTGTGTGTTCAGCTGATAACTGAGAGCTGTAAGCCATTCACCTAATGAACCTAACAAACTTCAGATCTTTGTAGCTATTGGAGACACCTACACTTTTCCTTTTCAAAATTATAGAAAAGGTAAAAATGTTTCAGTAGCACTCCACAGATAGGTAAAAAGTGGAAAAGGATATGGAAATATTATGATAATACATACCTAAATATTACATGCTAATTTTCTAGTTGTTAATATTAGAGATGTTACCTTAAAACAGTGACATAGTTGTGCTGAGATGATGTATTAGTGCTGTAAAATACTAATTCACTTGGTGCTTTGATTCTTAACCATTATGTGTTTAAATGGTCAGGCACAGTGTGATGTACAGACCTGTTACAGACTGTAATTACAGTGAAACTAAATGTTATTAGAGCTGAAAATGCAAACTTACATCGTATTTCTCAGTTACGGCTTCTCATCAGTTGATTACATCATTATTTTCTGAATAATGTGACTAACTGCACTGGAATTTTCACTGCAGGCCTAATTACAGGTGTAGTTACTCAGGAACTAAGTTATACTGAAATTACACAGAAGCAGGGTTTAGGGTTTATAATTAGTTTAAAACTCAATCCACACTACATATATCTTTACACAGCATGTCTATATTTCTTTATCTTATTATTTATCAATAACTAGAAAATTAGCATAGAACTTCAAATCATTGCGTCTTGTTACCATTATTCATTTTATCTCATACCTATTACCGCTACAACATATTATTTATTAACAACTAGACAATTAGTATGTGATTTTTAGATAAATATAACTTATTAAGATGATATTACACTGTCATTACCTGCTTACTACCAATCTGTAATGCGCTATCAATGTTTCTTCCTCTCCAGATGACGAAATATGGTGATATGTGCTCCATGTATCTAAGCAGGAAGCCAACGATTGTGCTGAATAACATGCAGATTGTGAAGGAAGCATTCGCTCAGAACGGGGCCGTATTTTCTGGAAGGCCGTTCGTACCATTAATGAACTGGATCACTGACGGCTATGGTCAGTATCACAGGGCTTATTAACTTCTTTGCTTTACTTTAATTGCTTTTACTATTTTACTTTGTAGCCCACTAATAATCCCTCTTGCTGTACCTGCCTCGACCCCTTTATCATCATCTGTCTACTTCTTTCTGTCTCTGGCTCTCTCAGGTATTGTTATGGTCACATATGGTGATTCTTGGAAACAGCAGCGTCGCTTTGCTCTGCACACGCTGCGCAACTTCGGTCTGGGCAAGAAAACGGTGGAGGAACGTGTGGCTGAAGAGGCACGATACCTCATTGGAGAGATGCTCAAGCATGAAGGTACTAGAATTCTCCATGGATTAGTGAACTGCTGTCAGTTTGTTTAATCTACAACTAGAACAGAAGCCCGAGGTGCACATCCTTCCTACACCCCCAGGAATTTGTGGCTCAAAACAACTCATCTTACACTTTGCTTAGTCACTTTTCAGTTGTAGCTCTTCAACATAAGCAAAGAAATTATGTTGAAAGTGTGTTTTCTAAGTTTTTAATTGATTCCATACTTATGTTTCAAAGGGGGAGGGTTGATATTTTAGTATTAATTTTATTTGGTGAAATGTTTGCACATATTTTTTGGAAAGAAAAAAAAACTGTTATGTGATATTTTTTCAATTTTTGTTGCTTTGTTGACATTGAAACAAATAGAAAGTGTCCAAACCTGCCAGAACATAAATCAAATGTAAAATATCAGTGATCTTGTGATGACCTATGTAATAATTATGTAATTACCTATGAACAATTAAGCCATATTTGTGGACTCTAGAACTATATTGTCTGTTGATATTTGTTTGTTCTTATGATTGTTTGCTGACTGTTTGCCCAAGTCAAGCTCCATACTTACCACTTTCTACAGCAGAACTGGTCAATATATATTTATAACAATACTTTAGTGTCAGTGATAATATTTAGACCATTTAAAATGATTTTGATGGCCAGGGTTCTATTATTATGTTCTTCCTCATCAAATTCTTTCTCCTGCTATTTCTTTTTGAAGGGAAGGCTTTTTATCCCCTCCATCCTATTCTGAATGCAGTTTCCAACATCATCTGTTCCATCGTCTTCGGAGACCGCTTTGATTATGAAAACGAACGCTTTGCTAAGCTGCTGGAAATTATGAATCAAAGCATGCGACTTGGTGCATCACCTGTGGGAAAGGTAACGACCAGCAAGAACTTTCCTGATGATTATCACTACGTAGTCAATGTTTTTAACTGTGCTTGAGAGAAAAAGAGCACAACATGATATAATTTATTACCTACAAATTACAGTTGTTTTTAATTTTTTTCCACCTTTAATTTTATACCAACACTGAAATGATTTTTAGAATGACAACAGAGATAGTTTCAATTGATCCTTGACTAGTCTTGGAACTTGTCTCCACTAGTAAAGTCTTGCTTTCGAGAATAATATGATTTAGCAAAACATTTAACTTCACTGGCAGTGTTTTTTGTGTATATATAGTAATGTAAAATTAAAGTGCTTAGGCTTAAAAAAATTACAAAAAAATATATATACATGGAACATGGGATCTTTTTTTTTGGCAGATCTTCAACTTGCTCCCAGTAATAAAATACTTTCCGGGCCCACACCAGACGATGTTGCAGAATGCCATCTCCTTCAAGGTATTTATCCGCGAGGCCGTCGAAGAGCACAGGCTGATTCTGGACTCTGAAAACCCCCGGGACTTCATTGATGCCTACCTGATTGAGATGACCAAGGTGAGAAGCCAAATTGCAGGAGAAGCTCTACATATTGCAGCTGTACCTGCATTCTACAGTAAATCAGTCTTTCCACCAGCTTACAGTCTTTTTTGGTACAGAAATACAAAATAGCATCTTGTTTCGAGCAGCACAAGTCAAAGGAAAACTCCACATTCCATGAGGACAACTTGATTATGTCCGCTGCTGACCTCTTCTTTGCTGGGACGGACACTACAGCAACCACTCTCAGATGGGGCCTCATTTTCATGATGGACCACCCTGATGTGCAAGGTATACTACACTTGCATCTCTACTTGGGTGTGGTGTGGGGAACAATTTAGGGCTTTCTATATTTCTTTTGTTATATTACCATTAGCTAGCTGAATATTCTAACAAATAAATAAATATGAAATGGGAATTGAATGCATAGCAATAATTATACTTTGATGAAAATTTTGGACTTCTAAGAATTTATAGTTGGTTAGTCACCCAATTTTACTATGGCTGTATGTGCTTTAATGTCATTTACTCTCTTTTCTGTACTCTGTCTCTCCCTCATACTCCCCTGTTTATTCACTTGACCACATTAGAGCGCTGTCATGAGGAGATCATTCAAGTGCTGGGTTGGGACCGCTCTCCCTGCATGGATGACCGTGCCAACCTCCCATACACTCATGCCACTGTGCATGAGATCCAGCGCTATGCAAACGTCGTTCCTCTAAGTGTAGTGCATGAGACCACAGAGCCAACACAGCTGCAAGGATACCACCTCCCCAAGGTAATGATGGAGAGATTGGAATGAGTTGTATGTGGAATTGAATAGATTTGTTATGGAGTATTGGAGGAATTGTAGATTTGGTTGATCCAGAAAGTTGGTAAAATAGAGGAATTGTAGTTTGGACTAAGGGATGGAGGAAATGTACATTGGATTTACCCAGTAAGAACAGAAAATTAAGGAATTGTACATTGACTCAATCCAGAAAGATCACAAAAAAATGGAAAAACTTTGGATCAACGTGACTGAGGAATTTGGATCGATTCAAAAAGATCAAAAAATGGAGGAGCTGTAGAATGGATTGAGGGATGGAAGCATTGTAGAGTGGGTTAATTCTTGCTGGTAGCAGGTCACTTTCCAACTCAGTTGAAGCACTGTGGTTGTGCTATGCCAACGAACAGTAGATCACAGCTCCCCCAGGACTTCCAGTAGATATCCTTGCTAAGTTGCATAGGCAGGGTATATGAAGAAAATGCAATCAGAAGCACCCAACACAGTTTTATGAAGAACAGATTGACAGTCTCTGCTCCTCTGCAAGCCATGCATGGCTGGCAGGATGCAATGAATGCTGTTCCTAAGCTGGATGCCCATATTGTGTTTATTGACCTTTTGAGGGCCTTTGCCACGATTGATCATGGTCAACTTTTAGTTACATTAGCCTCCCCTTGGTATCTCCAATTATTCGTGGCCTGTCCTTCACAGCTATCTGATAGAAGGACAACAAGCTGTACGCTGGGGAAACTGTATGTCCTTGGCATAATGTGTACAAGCTGTAAGTCCCCAGGATGGGTTGTTATCACCTCTCCTTTTTCATTGTCTGTATGAATACACTACATGTGTGGAACCCATCAAGTATGCTGATGATCTAACCTTGACCGAGCTGTTGATGGGGTCTCTTCCTGGACAGATGCAACCTGCTGTTGATCCAGTGAGGCCGGATTTTTTGCCTCTCAACAAATGTCTTAAAAACAAAAGACATGATTAATAGAAGCCTCACAACAGACCTGACACTCCTACTCTGTTCCTGCATGAGCAGGGGGTGGAGCATGTGAAGTCTCTCAAGCTTTTAGGTGTTCAGATGAGCTCAGATCTGACACGAGATAATCATATCTGCTACATCAAGAGAGTCCAACCTTGCAAACATTACTTGAGGGTTGCTAAGCATGCAGGCCTCCCACCAGATGTGTTACTTGACATTTATCTAACTACCAGAAATGAGATCAGCAGGATCCTACTGTACTTGAGACAACCCTTTCATGTACATTTACCTGTATAATCAGACTATTACTCCAGATGGAACAGTAGGATATTTGTGTGGCCAGCTGCACAAAAAAGACACCAGCTTTCTTTTTGCCAAGGGTTTTAAACTTTTATAATGAAGTTTTTGATTGTTTGAGACTGAGTGTGGGCTAATTTCATGGACATTATTAGGAAGCACCACTTTGTACTGGTTGATATTATCTGTAATGCTGGGTTTGTTGACTAAGCTATGGTTTCACCTGATTGTACAAACATCTTACTACATCCACTTACATGCAATGTTATGATGTTTATTGATAAGCTTGAACTTTGAGCTTTGAACTTTGACTGGAGGATGGAGGAGCAGTAGTTGTAGACTGGACTGAGGGATGAATTAAACAAAAGAATTGTAGACTGGATGGAGGACTTGAGGAGCTGTAGAATGTATAAATAAAAAGCTGAATGGAAGAATAAAGAGATGATTGTTAAATAAATTATGTATATGTATTTTGTGTATTTTTTTCCATGGCAGGGAACAATGATTCTACCCAACTTAACTGCAATCTTGGCTGACAAAGAGCACTGGAAGTATCCACATACATTCAACCCAGAGAACTTTCTGGATGAGAAGGGAGAGTTCTGCAAAAACGACTTCTTTCTGCCTTTTTCTCTGGGTGAGTCTGCTGGTGTCTACAAAACAAGAGTTAATTGTCTAAATGCTTTTTACAAATGCTCTACGTTTAAGATTTATTTTATTGACCTGACTGACATATTTGGATTTCTACAAGTATGAAAGACCTTTGCATAAAAACAAATGGACAAACATCCAGTGCGACGCTCAAGCATGTTGTTTGTTAACATGCTATTTAAACCACTGTCACTGCTGTCAACATCTAGGTCCAGTTTCAGTTCTTCTTTAACTTGCCCACATCTACTTCGAGCCAACGCTCGTATGTGCATCACAACTACGTTGCACAACTGGCCACTCGTGGCAGAAGTGGTGGTGGCAACAGTGAGGATTGTTCAAACGGAATGCACTCGCAGTTGAGCATCACTAATGTAGTACCTAAAGTGCATTTACTGTTAACAAATACATTAGTAAACACAAGTCTACACTTAATGTGAGAACAATGGAAACTGATGGTAACAACAGCAGTTCTTACTTGTTTACTTAATAATAGCCACCCTTAATATATGGAAACAGTTATTGTAAAATGTTACTATAGTTCCTATGTCACTATAGGTGGTGAAAGTTGTGCTCTTTTTTACACAGCTTTGATGAAAAAGTGTTTGTATCACTGTGTCTGTTTCCTAGAACCCAGAGAAAGTCACCTTTTTAATATCATGCGCTTTATATATTTTGATTAAAGTCCTGTGACAATAGTACCTAATTAATGCCATTGAAAATGCAGCATTTAAATTGTCGCTGTCAGGACAAAACTTTGTATCCCTGTATTTGTCCTTTTTCATTTTCACATAATTTTTAATCGCCGGTGGCTCTTTACATTATGTCAACCTTTACATGATAAATGGAGCAATAGAAATGCTCCAAATAAATAATTTCTCTATTAAATTCCTTTAAAAGTTAAGTTCTCCTGCAAAGCTACTTTTTTTCGTTTTGTTCTGACAGCTATAAAATGTCAGCTTGTAGTTCTAGTTTTGGTAGTCTTGGACAGTGCACAGAATTGCAGTGTGTGGTCTTTGCATCATAGAATTAAAGAAGGCAAAAGTTGAACATCTGGCAAAATACAGTTCCATTTCAGCCACTATACGGAATATGTGCATCTGGAAAAGACACTGCTTGAACTGTAATCTCTGTATGAACTAATGAGCTGTATATCGTGTTGGACATATTCTGAAAATTTCCTGCTGACCTATGTGCAGTAAGTGTGTGTGTGTGTGAGGGTTAATGTTCATTATTGTGTGCTGCAGGTCCGAGGGTGTGTCTGGGTGAGAATCTGGCGAGAACAGAGCTCTTCATCTTCTTCACCTCTCTGCTCCAGCGGTTAAAGTTCTCATGGCCTCCTGGAGCTCCACCCGCAAACATGGACGGCATGGTGGGCACTGTCCGCTCTCCGTTCCCCTTTAATACGATCTGCCGCAGCAGAGAGACCACTCACTGAATCAGACCGTGTTCAGCAGTGGTGTAAAAACACAACCTGCTTTTGGATTTTTGGAATATTTCTGCTTTACATGAGTAGAAATGTTTCAGTGGGCTTTCACTTTTACCTCATTACATTTTGAAAAGTAAATACTTAATATTCTAAGAATATTTTATTACTTTTGCTACTGCTTTTTGTTAATGTCAAACATTTGTGAATGTTTTTTATGTACATTAAGATGAACAAAATGGGTAGCTTTAATAAGACTTTAGTTAAAAATCACAGGACCCCGCTCCTGAATCTTCTTGGAACATTCCAGCCCCGCCCCCTCATTATTCCCAAAGCCTGTTGCTTGTTGTGCTTGTTTGCCTTTGGTTTTTGTATTTGACAGTTTTCATTTAGTTGCCAACTGTCTCTTGTTAGTCCTTACAATGTTTGGCTTTTACCCTCTTTGTTTATTGATGGTTGATGAAGTGAACTGCATTTTGCATCTTAATACATCCAATGAAACTACTTGTCAACATCTGACTGATTTTTTTCTTTAAATAACAAACATAATGCAATTTTTGATTGAGTAGTTAGAAGGTAGGATATTTTTTTATTTGAAAAATTTAAAGGATAGATAATCTGACCATTATGGAGACAAAAACCTAACAATTCTACTGAATGAAAAGTCATTGCAAGCTGAACCAAATGATCTGACTCACTGAATAGAACTGGAATGCCCATCACTAATTGGCAGTGAGGGGCACTGATAATTTAATATTTGTTATACTTAAATACAGGAATTTATAAGACTCTGTGGAGCTGAAATAGGGTTGCAACTAATGGCTTCATAGTAATGAGATAGCTTAGCAGATAACATTATGACCTTGTATGTGGAACACAAGGGTTTGAATCCCTGTTCAGGCAGTAACTCAGTGCAGTGTTTGGTTTTATCTGAAACATGTTTATGCTGGCTTGTTTGGTACAACTACCTGCAATGTGTTTTTGAAGCCTCTGCACTTTAAAATGTCTTTGCTGGGGCCTCCATTTGTACACAAAGCTTGAAGCTTGTGAAATAGAAAACACTGGTATCCACTACAACAGTGTAAAAGACCAGACTAAACAGTGTTAACACCACTATTTATTTAATTATATAACACTTAGAATACATAGAATATTGGTAATTACTGTCAATATGAGCATTTTCGAAACTTTTTAAACCGACACCACATAATTTATCTTTGAGAAAATTCAATGCACATTATAAAAATAAATTGTGTTTGCACCCCATTGATTTCATGAACATTTTGTTAATACAAAGACCAGCCAATAAATACAAGATTTCTTCTGACAATTAAACCAGTGCACAATTTCCACAGTCCTCCACAGGAGGGTGCAGTTGAGCTTTTTGCATGATCCAGAACAAGCCTATCATAATAATAAATGAAGTACATAAAACTGGTCTCAGATCAGTTTAAAAAATCAGCTGCCACCATCTATTGAGCGCTGTGTGTTACAATGAAGTTAAGAGAAACTTGACTCTAAACACACTTGTCTGCACAACTCATACTTCACAACTTTGTGATGTTTAAATTTTTTGGTCCTGATCCTGGAATGTCATTGGTTTGTAACTGTCCCATATAAAAGCTGCTGGTTTTAAGTTACTGGAATCTCCATATTAAGGGTGTTTTTGGTCTCTCTGCCCTCTGGATTCCACAGAGTGGTACAATTAGAGGTAGTAAATGATCAACATTGTCCATTCTCCACCCTGAAGATGTTAAATCAAACCTTTGTTTATCAAATTTCATATTTCTTTACCATAGGTCATTACTAATTTTGAAAAAAAAATCAGCATAATTACTTGGGCAAGATGTAAACAGAGTTATTCCGACTGGTTTGGTGTGAAATGCTGAATTCCGGAGAAACAAAGAGGATGGGCCACTATAGTGGTGATAGGAACCAGACATCTGAAGAGTTTAATGCTGGTTATAAATATTCTACCTGATGCCTGAGGGTGCTTTCACACATTCCTTGTTTGGTCTGGACCTTCGAGCTTTTCAGTTTGGTCCAAACCAAAATAGCAGGTGTGAAAGTTGGCAGTTGGCATTAATGTTCCTATAGTTACTGAATAATACGCCTTAGTATGAAATAAGCCTGGAATGTTAAGGGGTTAAACAATAGAAGAAGAAAAAGAACAGAGAGAGAAGTAAAATGAGCCATGGTAGCACACAGGGAGAGGAGGAGAAGACATATTTAACTGCGATTTGGTCCGATGAAATGAGGATGAAGATATTAATTTTGCACCGTTCAAACAAAAAAGGATACCCGCTAAATTATCAACATGCCAACGTCAGACGCTCCTCTACAAATCAATCAGAGATAAGTATACGGAGCCGCAGCTCATGCACGCAATGACGGCAAGACGAGGTTTTCAGTGAACGCGATAAATTTCGATGTGAAACCAAAACTAACTGGATCAAACATGAACCTTGGTCCAGACGTTCAGGTGTGAAAACATCCTCTTGGCAAACTGAAACTAATAAAGAAGCTCTAGGTGGGACAGATTGATGAATATCTTCGGTATAAAAATATTGCTAAGGTTTTGTCTTTCATTTATATCTCATAGCCAAATTTTCTGTAAAATTTATGGTAGTAAAATGATTTCTGATCTCTCTCATCTTTGAGAAATAAAGTATTCCAAGATGATAACAGCCATTAAGAAGACATTCACCAGAGGCTGATACGCTGTACACTGGAATGTCTGCCCTGTACAAGTTAAACTATCTTCTTAATACAGATCACATCTTTTAAAAGTGATGAAAGTATAGACACCAGCATCCACAGAACCTGGGGGCTTCTGTGAAGGGGCTACCACCACACTAAAGAAACTGCTGGTCAGGCTAAGAGATGAATCATCTCCCATCCCTTCTAAGAGACAGGAGGGAGGATGCGGGTCTGGACACCGACTCCCTGCAGCTGGACCACACTGGGCATGGAGGCCAGCAGGTGTCGGACAGAGGGATGGTTTTTGAGTATACGCGGGTGCACGAGGAGTGGACAGGACCTGCGAGCCTTCATCAGCGACACTCCAGTAGGGTACCGGGCCAGCAGATCTCTGAGGGAACCAATCAGCTTCAAGACAAGGGGGTCTATAGGTGTCCCTAGGAGAAAGAGATAGACAGTACAACTTTAGATTCATAGCATTGATGCTGTCGTTTTAAGTTTGAAGCCTAATATATGATAAAAGTACCATTTTTAATAAAGAAATATTAAGAGGTTCATCACACAGTTGAAGGATGCAGTTGACTTCCACATGTAATTAGTAAGGACATCACTATAAACTAACAATTATATTCAAATCTTTAGTTCATTAAAAAAAGCAATTAAGGACTTTTATATATGTATATAAGGGCAAAACAACCTACAATCATGTTTATTATCATCTACTTAAAGAATAAGCATGTTCATTTATACTATATATAGTGGTTAATAACTAAATGAATTATATCCAAAATGTGCAATTAATCATGATTATCTGTATCTGAATTTGTGATTAAGTTCCGTTCTAATCGTTTATTTAGTCACATTGTATGTACTAAATAAGCGCTACGAAAGGTTTAATCTCAGCTCCAAATGTACAATTAATCATGTCTACATCCAAAACTGTAAAAAAAAAAATGTGGTTCTTTGAGCGATGCCATAGAAGAACCACTTTTGGCTCCCTAAAGAACCATGTTTGAAAGAAACTTCACATAGTGTAAAGGTTCTACACCACTTTAAAGCTTCTAGAACTTTTCCTAAGATCTTTAAACTTTAAAAAGGTTCTACACATCAACACTTTTCATTTGCAATGGTTCACAATGCACTGTAAAAATTGTCTCATCAGATCAACCTAAAATAAATGACTTCATGTAGTAACAAGCAATTGAACTCAAAAAATTACACTGATTCAAAGTATGCATTTAGGTCGAATAAAATTATTAAATTTACTTGTTACTACATCATATTTTTAGGTTGATCTGATAAGACATTTTTTACAGTGTATCATTTACAATGGTTCCACTGGAAGCTGACTTACAGAACCAAAATTGGTTCTTCAATGGCACCAAGAAAAAAACACTTTCCAGCACCTTTATTTTCAAGAGTGAAACTGTGATTAATCATGATTACTTGTGACCAGATGTGCGATTATTCATGATGGTTAATTACAGAGCTGGAACATATGACAATATTTATCGCCGTCATGATAAATTACATCATAAAATGTCACAATAAGCTTCACTGAGTGTATCGTGGATATCGACAACGCTTAAAAACACTGATCGAACTGCATGTTTGACTACAAAGACAGCATCTTTAGTCCTGTTCAGTTGGATTTATTGTAGCACTGAATGTGCACTGTAAAAATGACTCATCAGATCAACCTAAAAAAAATGACATCATGTAGTAACAAGAAGCTGAAGTAGTTTTATTCAACTCAAACAAATTACATTGACTCAAAGAACTGCTCGTTCAAAGTATTTATTTAGGTTGAATTAAACTTGCAAATTTACTTCTTACCACTCATTTTTTAGGTTGATCTGAGACATTTTTAATGTGATCTTTGTCTCTTTAACTTATCAGATGTCAGAAAAAACAAATATCATCACATGCCCTGTATTGTAAAAGTAAATAAATAAATAAAATTCTTGAAGTATGGCGATCTGACATTTTGATATATAGTTAATTATATCCAGAATCACGATGATTTATAACTCAGTGTATGATCAGCTAATTATGATCATAACATGCGATTAATCGCAACTGAGTCAGCTGACCGGATGGACAGGACTGTTTATCGAACAGAGCTCAGGGCTGTGGAGAGCTGACGGAGTAAAGAAGCGCTGAAACTCCTCAGGACCCCCGCATTTCTGTCTGTATGAGAGAATAAGATCACGGGTCGAGGAGTGAAGCTCGTTTACGACTCACTGCTGTGGAAATCCGGCGGCAGGTTCGCGAGAGCCGCATCTCTGTAAGATCTGGCCGTAGGTCCAGCTGCTCCGGTCCCCTCCACCGTCATCACTGCCTCCTGACGGAAACGATAAAGAAGCTCTCAGAGCCGAAAAGCGCTGTGTTGATCATCCACAGCAGAAACACATAGAGCTGTTAAAACTGCGATAAACTCACCTCGAAGAGCGAATCAACTTTCTCAGCGTCTTTACTCTGCGCGCG